TGCGTATATATAATTTCACGTTCAAAGTGGTGATCCGTTTTGAAGAGATGGATATTTCCTGCGGGATTCTGCCTTGTAAGCAGTACCGTCCTCCATCCCAACAATCCCGGAGGCCTGAGCCAGGTGACAACAGCTCTGACCTCTCAGGCAGCCCTCCAGTACAGCCTTGTGCTGGGATCTGTGCTGCTACAAAGCTGAGGGCCAGCGGGCCGTGGTCCTTAGCTTATTTGAGACCACGGGTGCTGTGCGTCTTTGCTTGTAGACCTTGGCTTTCCTTCTGCTCTTTGAGCAAAAAGAGACTGATAGGCAATAGCCTGGAAGTTGAAGTAATTCCCAGGGTGTACACACTATGTAGAAGCCCCCAGACCGTAGCAATCTGTCAGTGAATTTAGCAACGTAGGACTTACTTAATGAGGTCCTGGATGTCTGCTGGATCTATTGTACACTTCTCTGTTTTGCTGACCTCACAGAAGGTTCTCATCATTTTTCAGCTGTAGGTATCAAGCAGGGGATTCCTTTAGTAAAGTCTCATTTATGTTTTATGACTGCTGGGACACTCTTGAGCAAAACCAGCAGCTGCACAAGGTGTTCACAGTGTACACTTTTGCTTCACAGTGAGTGTTCTTTTCCTGTTGCACTGTGTAAAATCATGGTGTTGTTAGCAAGTTACTGTCGTCTCCTTTTTGCCGTTTATTGAATCTACGCCTATTTCTTGGGTAGGTTACTGTATTGTATTACTGCGTGGAAGTTTCTGTGTTTTCCTTGTCCTTTGCTTGTCAGCAACTTTGGGTTTCGTGACTCTGTGCAGTTAACTTCCTTCTACTCCTTACTGGCTGCACTGCCAGTAAGTAAATTGGTGTGCTGTTGTGAGTGGCTCTCTTGTCAGGCTGATAAGATCACACCACCAGGAAAGCATAACATTATAATCCTGTGCACAATGTGATCCTGTTCATTTTAGCTCTTGTACTTGTCAGAAAGACAAGAATAAAGATTGTGTATGGGTGAAAAGTGAAGCTAGAAGTGAAGATAGTGGAAAATAAAACATTTAGCTGAACAAGAGAAATCCTGTGCTGGGACATTCTCATTTCTAATCAAAGTATTGCCTAGAAATGAACTTGGAAAGCTGATTGGGGTGTCCTGAATAATACAGAACATAACACTGACTGAGAATACAGAATGTTGATAAGGATTCATGACAGAGTGGGGGAAAAAATACGTCCTCTATTTTTCCTTAGATTTGGTATCACATTTGAAAATACAGTCATAACAACAGGCAGAAGTACTAAGATTATTCTGCAAGAAATAGGTCTGTATAGCAAGGTTTCTGGTAATTCCAGACTTGCTATATTTTACTCAAAAAAATGAGTGCTTTCCAGATAGGACCTGAAAAGAGGCAAAATTTAAGACATGCCTTAGGGTAAGGGGACTTCAGCCCCTTAAAAGAATCCCTGCAATTACCTAACCTGCCAACTTTCCAACAAGATAAATGGAGGCACTGTAGCTTGAAGGTGCCTTGGTTTGAATGAGTTGCAATAAGTAAGGTCTCTCTGTTCTTACAGGAATCATAGATCTGATAGTACTTATAAAAGAAGAATAGAGTTGGTGCCCTGCTGACTAAATTGTCCTCTAGAGGAGTATTAGTTACAGAGCTTCTTTGTTAACTAGGCTGTATGCTTAAACCACTGTGAATTTCTCTTATTAGCAGGATTTTTAATAGCTTTACATACGGATATACTAAGTAAATGCAGGTATATCCATATAATTTATGCATATGATGTGTACACGTACAGTATTTTCTATAATAAATTAAATATAATAAAAATATAACAATAAATAAATTAATAAAAGTTTGTGAAGTAGAAATTGCACGATTTCATTACTGTTGTGCTACACTAAAGAAAAACACAAGCATTAGAATACTGATATTAGGAGAACGATAAGCCAACTTCTGCTCTTTCAGTCTGGGAGCTTCCCATAAGGTCTTTCTTCCTCTTCACTTTAATTTCCCAATTAGCTCTCGTGGATAACAGAGGTGTTTCTAAAGCTTTTTTATGCTAGAAATTTCCCAGTTGCTCACCTACTGATACTTTTACCTTGAAAGATGAAGTAAGTCCATGAAGTGCATGTTTGTAAAGAGTACACAGTAATGGTTTGCAAACCACCCTGGACAGAATGGCTGATAATGCTCATTTACCCCATGGCAACACAAAGTAAATGTTGTATAGTATAGCCCAGGTGCCTAAATGGACAGCAGACCTTTCATACAGTCCTGGGAGCAACCTTATTATCAGCTGTCACAGTTGATGTGATCAATACCGTTGCTATGATAACCTCCTCGGCAGAGGATCTGGATGGATGGCCGTGTCGATGTTCTCTCCCCAGCCTCAAAAGGACATCCTGCTGCACGCATGCGTGCAGCACAATAGGGCCTGTGCTCATTGCAGGAGGGTGGCACAGCCCCGTGCTGGCGTCCCGTGAGCTTCCTTCTTTCTTTTCTGCTTTTATGAATGAGTTGCATCAGGTTTGCGAGGAAATCCCTTGAAGGCATGCACTTGAGGAAATGCCTGGGACATGTCAGTCACTCCACCCCCACGGGAGATTAGCAAAATGAGAAGTCATAATGTGACCTGATGGAAAAATGAACTTAGTTCTTGTCCCTACGTTCTTGCACACACACGCTCAGCATGTCAGGGAGGTGCTGGGGGGGAACTGTCAAGTTGTGCCTTGATCCCTGAACGACCGATAATTTTCATCACGGACGCTGCTAACTGCTTCATGGTTTTTTTTCGTTTTGGTTTGTTTGTTTTTCATGCACTTTGTGGCTTACCGAAGCAAATGAAAGCTTTAGTCCAAACACCACTTAAAAAACTTAGCTATTCTAAATGCAAAGCTGTGTGTTTTCTGTATCTTTTGTCAGCTGGGTGCCCATCTACTTTTTTACACAGAATTCATATTCATTTTGAATAGGCCCTTTTCTGCTGCATTCGGGTTTTGGAGTTTGATTATATGCTTTTCAGCAGCATTTGTTTTATCAGCACTTCCTGCAGCATTCGTTACACATTACGACAGCAGAGATTTGATTCCATTTAAGAGTACCATATGATGTATGGAAAAGCAGTAATTGCTTACCTGTTTGTCAGTTGCATTCTACTGTGAACACTTCCAGCGTTACTCTACGTAGTATCAAGCAGTGTTATTTCTTGTTTACATTTTCTACAGCAAACAGTTTCAAAAAAGAAACAATGAAAATAGTTTATTGCCAGCACCACATCACAATTAAATTTCCATTTATGGGGACTTGGAACTGTTCTCTGGTGAACGCTGAGTTCACACATAAATTAAGTTTGAAAACTTCAATCTTTGTTTTCCATACGCCTAATGAAATGCAAATACAATTTTGTCCTTGTCAGAAAAAGGAAAATTAACCTGTAGTGAGAGTTGTGCCTGGAGTATTGTGTTCAATGCACGTTTGGGAGTAGGAGCTGTGAGGTGTCCTGTAGAGAGCTAAGCTGGGCAAGTTGTATTATGTACACCTTTATGTATGAGGAGGAATAACACATAACATTCTAGGTGGCTTTTTATGAATGTTACTGGTGCCTGAAGTGCTAATCCTACTATTTCAGTGCCTTGGAAGACTGACTGTCTGTTAGGGGAGGCTAGCTGTGAGCCTCTTGTGATGGAGATCAGGCAGCATTCTTACTCTGAATACATCACTTTGAATTTTGTCCAAGTTCTGTAATTTCTAAAAATAACTTTATTTTTGTTATGAAAATTAGACAGCAGTTAGTCCTTGCTTCTTGAGCTCTTTGCCCAAGCAGAGCCCAGCTGTCTTTGTGTTCCTCAGATGCCTGGCCCCTTGTCTCCAGAGGAACTGCTGGCATGAGTCAGACAAATGAAATCACTGTCAACTAGAGTAGCATGCTCTGTGTCATCCCAATTATTTGAAGCCCCAAAGGTCAATTCATGACTTGTTTTATATGTGAAATAGCTCTCTGCCTTAATTCACTAATAGAAATAGCAGTATGCTCCTTGGCTTGTGTCTTGCCAAATACTGACAGAAGCACAGCTACCTGCGATCTTCTCGTCATGCTTAGGAATTAATGTTTTTTTCCTGAAAGTTAGAGGGCGCATCACAACATTCCTATTTTTTCACATCTGATTTTACAGTGATTTAAAACCAAACTACTCCCACAGATCCAAAGATAGATATAACTAGCTTTATGAGATATGCCCAGCAACTTGTAGTTAGAATTTGGAAGTGCGTTGACCAGTGAAGGAGATTCCTCATTGAAAACATTGAAAATTGCAGCATTTTTAAAGTGAAATGGAGCAGCTGTTTTGAGGTATACTCAGATGAAATTGAAGAGAAACTGTGAACTGGATGCTGGTCAAACTGGTGTTCGATGGAAATAAAGAAGCAGCCTTCCTTACTCTCAGGTGGCCAATGGGTTCTGGATTGCTGGTGAGGGCAGGGCGTTGTTGTTTTCCCTCTGCTGGAAGGTGAAGGAGCTGAATGCGAATTATTATGAGGGCTGTGTATTTTACACTTTTCTTCTGTCATTTTGATGATGGTTTAAAGAGTGAAGTATATAAGCTGTGATTCTAACGGGAACAATCCCAAACATGAAATACTGTGTTGAAGTGAAATTGATAACTCATTTTTATTAGCTTTCATATGCTCAGGTAGAATTTGTGGGATTAATTCTGAAAGCTTAATCCAGATGGAAAAGGTTAAATTCAATGCTGAGGGAATTTGATACCAATTCATTTGTTACTGTTGCTGATTCTTTTTCTCAGAAGAATTAGAGATTAAGTGGAGAATTGTGCATACTATCCTAATTTACTGACATCGTTTAACTACATGAACCAGCATTAAAGAAAACCTCTTAGTTAGCTACCATAGTAAGTAAACAAGGAGATGTGGTCACCGTGCCAGTTTTTATGTCTTGTGGCTCGTGTATTAGTTCTTGCAACTAATGCACCTTTTCCTTTTTCTTCAGGATTTGTCTGGATCCATTGACGATTTGCCGACTGGAACTGAAGCAACGCTGAGCTCAGCTGTTAGCGCATCAGGCTCTACAAGCAGCCAAGGGGAGCAGAGCAACCCTGCACAGTCTCCATTCTCCCCTCATGCTTCACCACATCTCTCTGGCATCCCCGGGGGCCCATCGCCTTCCCCTGTAGGCTCTCCTGTTGGAAGCAACCAGTCTAGGTCTGGTCCCATTTCTCCAGCAAGTATTCCAGGTAAGCTTGTTGCAACAAATGCAATTAATAGATTTATAATTGTCTATTAAAATTACTTCTAGATTGATAATTCTTAATTCTAGGAGAATTCTGCATTTTTAGTGTCTTCTTCTCTTAAGAAATGCATAAATAAAGCAGGGATAATTTCAGCTTCCAAGTCCTCAGAGCTCTCAAAATTCTGAACTTTACTCCACGAGTATATTTCTTAAATGTCTTTTTCATGGCCCAGTTCAGGCAACTAATGCTATTTTTATGTGTTTGGTTCATGATCATCTATCTATCACATATTTACAGGATCCCTTTTCTATTTTTACGTTGTGTTTTTGTTGTCTTTGTCTCTTGGAGTTCTGTGGTGACTTGTGACCCTTAGTTTGAGGCATACTTTTTTCAACTTCGTCTTTTAAAAATGGAGTTCAGGAAATGAATGTGATTTTTTTTATGAGATCTTATTTAATACTTGCAAAGATCAACACATTACTAGGAATCCAGACCCAATAGTATTTTAAACAACAGTATTACGTTTGCCACTCGCACTTCTTTGGCAGTGTTGGTACAATATCATCCATGTATATTCAGAAATTTGTGAAAACCTTCCAACGTACTCAGAAGAAAAAGGAAAAAAAAAAAATTGGTATTTTACATGAGTTTGTTCTCTTTTAGACGCTCAATTCTTTTATTGTTTTCTGATATTTTGAATGCTAGAGAAACTCGAAGTAGTTGGACAGTAGTGGCATTGCTCTGAGGTGACATCAGTTGCTGACAAAAGCACAACAAATCAGCGTGAAGCTCAGTTGAAAGAAAGAGAAATTGCAACTTTTTATCGTTAGATGTGTTGTGGACCAAATGCAAGTTAAGATGCAGTGAGCAGTATGTTTTTTGGTATTCCATATAAAGGTTAAACCGGGGAAATGTACATGCATATCTGTACACAGAGGTCGAACTAGATAAGCAAAGGTGAGTAAGCTCAGTGCACTCATGCTGGTTGTATCTGAAATGAGTGTGTCAAGCCCTGATGCAGCATGTATGCCCCATAGTCATTTCTTCTTCCCTCCAGCCTCTCTAGCTGGCAGCATGTGCTCAGGTGGGGCAGGAACAGCAGGAAAAGTGACAAGACAGAAGCCTCTGTATTACAGGCAGGATGATGACCTTGTATTTGCTGTGCATCTCAAACTGCGCAGTGTAGAAACCCTTCCCTGTTATTGAGTGAAGTCAAAGAGTCCACCCAGCTGGAAAGGTAGCTGTTCCCACAGTCTAAGCCAATCCTTGCACTTTGCAATCAGGACCCAATTCGGTGGCTTAATGGGAAATCTTGACTTCCTTCCTGTATTGTCTTAGGTTGTAAACTGAGGTTGTGATTTCTTGGAAAGCTCTCAGCTTGGTTCAGTTTTGACTATCTCTAAACAGTCAGATTTGGACAAACAAATTGATTGATATTTTAGCTGCCTGGTTGCTGAGTAGAGGAGGAGTGTTGTGAAGGTGAAAATAGTTTTATTGTAGCCATGACAGAAAAGGGTGTGAGCAGGTTGATTTGTAGGAAGAAGTAATAACTTTTATCAAATTAATTTCTTTGGGGTAAAAAGAGGTGTGGGCTGAAAGGTCAGAACCAAAGTCACTTCTCTTCAGCTGAGCCCAAACTTTTGTTTCTGTTGCTGACCTAATGAAAAGTGTTAGCTCTTCATAGAAAATGTGTCAGTTCGAATGCAAATTTTCTAGTCTGTTGTGGTAACACGAAAGACATATTAGGAAGTCTTTTTATGAATGGCAATAAATCAGAATTGCCTGCCACTGATTTCCCTGGTTTGGGCAAGCTTCTTATCTACCTGTTTTGATAAAGGTGAGCTCTCAGTTATGAACTAGTGCACTGCCATCTTCTGAGGAAAACCGGGCAGCTTCATTAGCTCTGCTGCTGCTGTTGCGTTTCTCAAGCTACAAAATGGAATGAGTAAAACTGCTATTTAAAACCCGGTGACTAGTGGGACACTGTTGGATGCTCGGGTTTCCAGGCCATGTGAACTCCACTGTGCTCATCATTTCTCCCCATTCACCTGCTTTCCCACCGTTGTGCTTAATTACTAGGATTTTATAGGCTTCTTCATCTGCTGTAGTCACAGGACACTGGCAAAAAGTAATGGAGCTTGTTTGCATTTCTCCGGGCTGCTTGCAGTGTTCAGGTTGTGGCTGTTTTTTGCACATATACTGAGTAGTCTGGCGTCTCTCCTTTAACAATTTTGTTCCACTCCTATTTTCCTCTTTCTTCTCACCCTACCCTTGTTTGTTCTGACCTCATTCCTCTCCTATTACCTCCTGCAATGTTGTGCCACAGCTTCTCCATGTGACATAGATTGGCTCTTTCAATCATTCTCTCTCCAGCAAGTCATTGTAAAATGAGCAGCTGTTGTGTTGCTGATAGCTACGGCTAGGGAAAGCCAAAATGTTGCAGGGGGTTCTTGGTGGGAAGGCCTTTAAAATAAAGGTGTTGCTTTCCCAGGGTTCACTGGAAGAGAAGCATCCTTTTCCTCATGCCTCCTTCATTGCAACAAAATTGACGACTAATTTAACATCAAAAGGGCAGGAAAACAGACAACCCCCTATTAAACCTCCCAAATGGCTGATTCAGTTCCATTGCCTGTTTAAGCTGCTTCCTCACCCCACTGCAAGTCTGCCTTGCCGTATTGCTTTCTGTCACACGTTGTGAATTTCATGGGAATGGACTGGTGCTGGCAACACTGACATTGGCACATCCCTAGCTCAGTGGGCATTTCCTTTCTGTACTCTGAAATACTGAACGGATATTTTGTGCAGTAAGTGGCACACGTATACAGCCTTTGTCTCCATTTATATAACTAGAATAGATCAGGGAAATTAATCTCTAAGAGTAGAAAAAGCAACTTCGGCATGTTTTGTTTTGAGAGGGATTTATCTCAAAAGGGTTAACACTTCTCTTTCTGACACACTTTTGTTACAGGACTGAAATCTTACTCTTTTACAATTTTTAATGATGTAAAATGATATTCTGATGTCCTAATAAGTGATTCACTATTCTACTTTGCCAGAATTCCTGATCTCTTTATTTTGTAGCCATCTTCATAATTAGGGTTCATGTTCTTCCAGAAGATGAGATGCGATGCCCTGCACTGCTTTAGGTCTTTAGCCGTGCCTGATTCAATCCTAAACCATTAGTGGAAGCTGACACAGCACATCATCAAAATGCACTGCTGTTGCCAGAAGACCTAGTGGATGTTAATTTCACTTTTTTTTTTTTTTTTTTTAAGCTTCCTGCCCAACCATTCCGGTTTACCAACAAAGCAAAAATGTAAATACACTAAACTCCACTTTCTCCCCCTCCCACATCTCCAGTTTTGATCTCGGTGGCCAAAGGCTTTTGTCAGCTCTTTCTCCCTTGTGGTGTAAGCAGCAAAAATTTTTAATATTAAGAGTTGTGTTGAAGATTGCTGATAAGCCAGGGTTCGCTTAACATGTGATGGATGAGCAGATTTTGTGTGAGTTAATAGATTATATTATTTTAAAACCCCTGCAGTAATTTGTATTTGTATAGAAAATAAGAGTATGTTATACTAATAATTAACAGCAAATGCTGCCTTCAGAAATTATGGTGTACAAGTATCTTTTTACGTACATCAGTATTTTTTACATACACTTTCAATGTATTTTAGGTTACCCTCTGAACGAACAAGCTTATTTTCACTCTGTAAAGCATAAGCTGCACTGCAGTTTTTACTGTTACAATTATATCAATGTCTTCTTTTATAAAGGAGTCTTCTTTTTCATAAAGGAGTTAGTATATTCAGGAAGAAATCCATGTGTGGATACTCTTACCTAGGAATGCCGTTGTCAGTCTTCTCGATTTATTATATGACCAGTAGTCAGCACCCCCCTCTGATTAAAATTACCCCAGACACTTAATGCTTGTAATTATATGAGGCAGTGGGTGTGTTCCATTCTGTGATCAGCTCTGCTCTCTTCAGACCGGGGATCTTTCCTTCCTAAAGTGGTCAGAATTACAATAGCACTAGAGGAAAAAATGGAGGAGGAAGAGGGAAATGGGGGTGCTCAGAAAGTGCTGTAATAAGAATTCTTCCCCTAGTGTACATGTAAGTCAGTGTGTGGGCTGACTAATGGTGTAAACAGTGACAGAAAAAAAAAAAAAAAAAAAAAAGAATAGTGGTTAGTCTATCATAGTCTTAAAGTTATTACTAGAATCTGAGTAGGGCAGTGGTTTATTTTGTGCTATATAAAAGGAGAAATCATAGATTTGTACTGTTTGCAGAAGTGGCTGCAGCAAGACAAGCTGATGACACTGGTTGTGCTTTAAACAAGAATTGGGAAAAAATTTTCTTGGCATGGAGCTATTCCACATGCTTGCTCTGTTGACCTCCACTACTGGTATATTATAGAGCATGGACTCTTCTCAAACATTGAGGGAGAGAAGAGTACCATACAAAAGTGAATTTATAATGCTGTATTCTTTGCTGAAGTTTTACAGATACCTCCCCATAATTGCAAAACAAGAAAGAGGATTATATCCTTTTGAAATGGACGTGGTCCCCCTGTCTGGAAAGATTATTTTAACACATACATCAATATTTTCCCCCTCGGCTTCTCCGGAGGCAAAAACCTTGCAACAAGCTGTTGCAAGGAAGATGCATGCTGTTCATTGGCATCCACACCAGAAAAAATACAAAACACAAAATGCCATTGACGTAGCTGTGTTCTTAATCACTGCTACTGCACAAAATATCTATTCAGCAGTTTTGCAATTCTAAAATGCTTACAAATGAAATACATGAATGTTTCATGTAACGATCTCTTAAACTTCTTTCTTTGAAAGTTTGAACATTTCTAATTTTTCTTTTTTTAAGAGGAAGTAAAATAGGTAAATTGCAGATCCTCTTTCTGGAGGAAATTTTGACTCTGGGATATGAAGCAGCTGATCTATGTTTTCTATTACAATTCAGCCTGGGTCACCACTGATTAATAAT